CGCAGCCACTAGAGTTATTCCATGGAGATCCTGAGAGAAGAAAGACTCCGCGTATTTCAGTGCAATATAATAATTGATATCCATATTGATAGGATACTAAAATGTTGTGTATGCGCAGACAAATCAATAACTACAAATGCCAAAAGATTGTGAAAAAGATGATTCTACAGGACAGAAAATTTTAGAAAACTAATAACGATATTTTATGTATTTTTCATTTCATTCTATGCGTACTTTCTCGAGTAGATCAAAAGAGTTTGCAAACGAAAGTAAGTAAATCAAACATTAGATCTGTTGGCATTGTTTGCACTTTTTGCACTCACTTAGCAACCTCTCTCTTTTCAACACTCGAATATATTTATTTTGTTCTAAGTGTAAAAAATTTTGGGGATTTCGAGCAACGTGAACAAAATCTATTCTTGACAAATAATTAGGGTTTGGAATTAATATATCTCGGAATAATATGGTAAAGAACGGGAATGAAACTGATAAACGAGTCAAGGTTATGTTATCCGAGGAATAAGAAAACAGCCATCTTACGAATAACAGAAAACTTGAGACATTATATCAAAGTGTCTTTTATAGTTCAGAAAGCATATTTACTCACCATCTGCACCTTCAGTCTCCTGCGTTTGCATCTTTGAACGATTTATCGAGGAGACTCGCGTGGAGTCTCCACATCGGTCGCGTCAAGGACAAACAAACGAACCCGCTCACGGTTCAGCTGCAAATTAACAATTAATTCGAATCGAATTCATGCGGAAGATTTTCAATGCGATAATTTCTCAGAATATCGTAGAAACCAACGCTCTAACTCTCATCAGTCTTGTCCAAGAAGTGCGATGGAACGTGCAAAAAAAATGAGAGAAATTGTACAGTAGCACCCTATTACGTATGATGGACAAACATACACATCCGGTTTTGTATTGCGCACGCGCAATGATAGAGGTGGAAATGGTGGAATCAGAGAGAAACCTGAGAGAGAGAACATGAGGGCCTTTTTCTTTCCCACGCGCATTACTGCCCTCTAAAGAAGTAGATGTAAACTGCATAATAATATCTATTTTCTTAAGGTAAAAATGTATATTACTCAGGGTACCTATCATAGAACAAGTCGGAATCGATTCCGATCGGAAATATTCAATTATTCCCTAAGACATGAGGGCCTTTTTCTTTCCCACGCGCACTACTGCCCTCTAAAGAAGTAGATGTAAACTGCATAATAATATCTATTTTTTTAAGGTAAAAATGTATATTACTCAGAGTACCTATCATAGAACAAGTCGGAATCGATTCCGATCGGAAATATTCAATTATTCCCTAGATTTCTATTGTGTTTTCTAGGGAAAACGGAATAATT